TTGTAATTTTTCACCACATCAAAGGCTCAGTTCTACTGAAGTCTGACAGGTAAGTATGGCCTGCAGCAACGCCTGAGTAACGCTACAAGCTCAGGGTATCAATTAGACAAAGTGCCGAATCATCAAATACCTGCCGGGAATGAAACACAAAGAAGACAACCAGAAAAACTTTCAGGTTATAAAATGTACACACTAAAATGCAGCAAATAACAAAATCGTCAGAGCTGAAGTTCACATACATTAGTGGCTGCCATTAATATAATAGGAGCTGAGTGTAACTTTGTTTTGTGAAATCCAGGTAATTTGAAATGATCTATAGCCCATTACGTTTAGCCCCTTATGCAAAGACGCGGATTATACTGAAAGAGTGACTGGAATACAAATAAGATATCACATCTGATACAGTCATTACTCTCATGTATGCACCTTCTGTTCTTCAAAGAGAAAAATAAATAAATCTGAACATTGAAGAGTTGTCACCTTCTACACAGCATATTTCGGTTAAGGTGTCTGAATATTGCAAGCTCAACAACTAGAGAAAAAACAACACATGTATTGAAATATGATGGTAATAAGATCTCTTTTAAAAAAGGCCACACAACATAGAAATTTTGATGTACAAGAGCACCTTTCTGACTAAAACAAGGTAATGTTTATGGTCCATAATCAAAAGAAAACAGACATCAACCCCCCACCCCCTTCACACTTTCTCAGTCACACGAGACAACACCTGTAATTTGTACCACGCTAATACCGAGATAAACCACCATTATTTAGAGAAAAACCAGTACTGAAAAAAAGCAGCATTATGTCACGAGTCTCAATTACTCTGCATTTAGGAAGATAAATATTGCTTATACTTCATCGGATTCATTTTTTCAACACAATATTTTCTAAATGCTAATTCAGTGAAGCTACAAGACTTATGAGGTGGTACTGTATATGCTGGTAGAGTACTGTATGTACATGTATTGACTGGATGTGTAAGTACATGTACATAGGGCCAATAATATACAAATTACAATGTGCATTTGTAAGTTCGCTACAGATGAGTCAAACTCCGACATGTTTAGATAAAAGGAATTGACCCTCAACCATTTGTTAGGTAACATACAGTATACACAATGCACAATTATGTACTTCTATTCTGTACAACAAAGCCCCAATATGTACCCTTCAAGTAGGTCAATCTATCATTCTATACAACATAAACAGACCTACATTCCAGTAGGATAACAAGCCAATTATATCTCTCAAGATAATCATAAAGCCAAAGATTTTGAGTCCACATTCTTTCTCTATACAGTCCTGTATGGTTCCTTGCAGTACGACGTTCTTGTTTTTACTTTAGTGCCCATACTGATAGTGAGGCATTCTGTATAGCTTTGTTTGTGTTTTTCTGTGTTTAGTATGTAATGTTAATTTTTATTCGCCACGTAATGATTGTAGAAATCAGTGTTATTCAGCTTGTTGTAGATGCTGCAAAGCTAATTTTCTGAATAAACGTTATAAACTGTAAACCTTTTACCAAAAAATCAGCAAAATACCAGGCGTCCAGGCCTCCCCCTCACATTCTTGTCCCTTCTTGAGTTAATCCGTTGCCTACAGGTGTAAGGGGCAGCATTACAATAGTGCCTGGGTGTACACTGAGGGTGTCCGATTCACAACGTGGGCTGAGTCAGCTGGGAATGGCAATGATCTGCCAGCTCTGATTCCTGTCCATGTGAGAACCTACCAGGTGTCCGCTATCCAACCCACCACGGGGATTTGGAACTGTGTAAACTGTTATTCAGGATTCCTCCTCAAATCTTATAATGAGGACGTATTCAAGAATGTTGGTGGGGGGGTGGAGTGTCTACAATGTACCTGGCTATTATTAACATGGGGTTTATTGTACAGGACTTTTCCTGATCTCCAAGCAGATCTTCTGGTCACTGCAAAAAGACAGTATCAAATTGGCCAGGCAGTATCCATTTGCCAGACAGTTACCAATTGCCACCTGGGTAGCTGAGGACTCTCTAGATGGCCACGTAATACTTTTGCCGCCAGACATCTGCTTTGAGATTAGACTTTCCCACCAAGATGTCATAGATCTTTTGTGCTTTTGGAAATGAGAGGGTTTTGCCCCAAAGCCATGGCCACCCACGCCCTATAGTATAACACGTAAAAGTCAAGGTTATAGACAAAAGTGACATTGTATCCACAGTAAACAACACGAACTCCACCCAGTAAACAATAACGTTTGCATGATCGCCGCTAAACATTGGTACAGACACAAGAGAAGACCCTGGCTTGTTTGTAAACTCCCCATTAGCTGGGCACAGAGTTTACATACTTCTCTAAACCCCCATCTTTGGTAATGACGACAGTTAGAAGGCACATTTCCGAACGCTGATGCACCAAACATGGCTACATGTACATGTACTGTTAGTACTGGTGTCTTATAGAAGCACATCCTACATAGCATACCTTTTTAGAGACTAAACAACGCTGTAATTCTGAATCTCAGGAAGAGATGGTTATGAAAGTATAACTACTATAAGTTACTATCTTGAATAATCTTCCAATTTATTGATATCAGTGGGTCTTCAACTGACCCAATTGTTCACTGTGACCCTTTTCAAGAACTTTAAAGGATATAGCTCTAAGACAGACTGTTTGGCATTGCTAGAATACCAGCTCAACCGATGGCCTCCTGATAGCTGCGCATGAGAACTGCCAAACCTTTGGCATAACAACATTCAGCTGAAATCCACAGCATGGCTTCAGTTGTACTCAGTGAAAACTGAACATGAAGTCAACAATTCACTTACATGTGGAGCTTGGAAGGCCTTGAGTTGTTGTACATAAAGGACTTGCCGTTAACTCAAGCCCATCTAATCCAATAAAATAACTTCCCTTCCAATCATCTCAGTATTTGTGCTGACTTTGTACTACCTTCGGGATAAAAGGATTTCGAAATGTCATACAGCAATATCCAAACAAAACATCCTGTCCTGGTACAAGTCATGTTAACTTTGGAATGTAAGAACTAGCAAGGAGGTCATGGACTTGAACTGTTTAACACAAATAATGACACATTACTACCAATCTGACAAATGCTACCAAGATGCTGTTCTTTGAATAAAAGCCGCTGTATACATAAAAACAAACTTTGGGACACATTTTTTGCATTAGTAGAGTAAAACGAAGCCTTGCTTCACAAAACCTTGTGTCTGTATCGCTGGTGTTTTTTGATTGAAGTTGAACCTGTATATATCAGACATGTCCCTAGACAAAACCAACAATGTCTTAAGGTCTAAATCAAGGCTACGCCCACGAGGTTGCCTCATCACACAAGACTGAAAATCCGTCACCTTCAGACTCCAGGGAACTTGACCTTGGTGGGAACTTGAGATGAATGCCCTTTAAGCACCTTGTCAGGCGAAAACAATACAATCAACTGTTTCATGTACATCTTACACATTTATGGTATGATGGTTTAGGGCAATTATTTTCATCAAGACTGGCACAAGAAGGGTAAAACTGGAATCAGTCAAGGGAGGTGTATAAAGAGACAACCAAGACACAACTTTTTACACAACCAAGAGATTTTATAGTTATAGAGTTTGAACTTGTTCCAACACAAAGGAAACTCACCATAAATTTTCGGCCGATCCCTTCAACCTTGGAACAAGTTCGAACTCTATATAACTATGGATTCTACCAACACAGATGAGCTTTCATTCGAACCAAGAGATTTACTGAGCCGACATTTCTGTGACCGACTTTTACCTTCCTCAGGGCAATTCTGACAGGTTCACATTGCACTGCACAGGTGTTGCTGCAATAGATACTTTCCCAAGCGCAAAGCTTTTATATATCTACACAGTTTCAGGGAATGTGATGAAACTATTCACGGATAGTATTCAGTTACTTTTGACCCTAACCCTCATACAATGTACAGATCTCCAGATGCCCAGACTGGGACAGGAGACCCAGAGGCCTAACCACCACTGTCAGCCCCTGAGCCTGTGTGTACAGATTCCCATTACCATCCTGCTGACATAGGGCCTGTTATGGTTCCAACAACATTGCTGGGATTCTGGAGAGAGTCTACAACAACAAATCTACCACCAACAGGAGGGGTAGAAATACAAGAGATGATGCAACAGTCAGAGAAGCCTGAGGGGAAAGGGGGACACACAAGGGGAAGGTGTCCTCTGGGCTTCGACATAGAGAGTCTACAACAACAAATCTACCACCAACAGGAGGGGTAGAAATACAAGAGGTAGTGCAACTGTCAGAGAAAATCCTGAGGGGAAAGGGGGACAAACAAGGGGAAGGTGTCCTCTGGGCTTTGACATGATGATTCTGGTAATTACCCTGATAATTCTAGAGAGTCTACAACAACAAATCTACCACCAACAGGAGGGGTAGAAATACAAGAGGTTGTGCAACTGTCAGAGAAAACCTCAGGGGAGGGGGGCAAACAAGGGGGACATGTACCCTGGGCTTTGTCCTGATAATTACACTGATAATGGCCAATAATGATGGACCACAAGTGATTATAGCACAGTTAAATTTCAATTGGAAGAAACATGTACACTGGTCTTTGTTGACAAGGGGGCACCCTTCGGCTATTTACATTGACAGGCACACAAAAAGAAACGATTTAAAGAACTATAAACATAACATGAGCTTGGTCTGTGTTGGTCTGAGACAGGAAGCCAGCAGGATGAGGTCATATATTTCTGGATATGGACAGTAACAAGTGTTTTTGCCAGTGGGTTTCAGCTGGTGGAATCCGGTCTGTCGGCTAGTTCCACCGTGATCTGAGAGCTCAGAGGAAATGGTGGCAACCATGGCCAGAACTGGGACATGTGAAAATGTTTTCAGTGTAAATACAGGCTAGACACAATCTGGGCTATTCTCCCTACGCTGACCCCTGGAAAATACTTCTCTCTAGATACACTGCCACATTCTACAGCACCCCTGGTGCAAAACAAAATGTAGCTTACCTGAATGGGTACACTTCTTGTGGTTCTGACTTGAAACCGTAGTTGTAGAAAGTCACTTGAGTCCTGTAAAACAATCATGCACTTGTATCACAAAACAATCATTGAATGTCAGCACAAAGATACATACATACAGTATTTGTACTACTTCAAGAGCCTAGAAGAAAAAAACATACAAAACTGCAAAGGGAAAGAAACACTGCCTCAGTGCTGTTTTGAAGCACCTGACATGTTTACAAAAAACATGGAAAACAACATATCCATCAAAGTGCAGCTGCAAATGAACGTGGCTCTGCATACTCTTTACTGTTGATAAGTTCGAAAACATACCACATTCAAGAAGTACTTGGCCTTGTGTAGCACTTAAGTGACACATGCTAAAGGCATATCTCTACCCCTGAGTGGTGAAATAAAAGTCTGAATATAGATGCCCACGTTTTTTCCCACGGATATACCCGTGAGGACTTGGAAATGCTTGTCTAGCCAAACACTGTGTACACCAATGGCCTCCTGCACAGTCAAGTCAAATACTGGGCAGTCCTACTGCCAGGCACAGGGACCATGTCTCTTATCTGTCTGAACATCTGACCATGGGAATAAAACAGGCCACAGGTCGCCTATCTACTGTGGTTGCCGTCTATCTGATGGGAAACCAAAATATATCTTCTTCTCTTTAACAGGACCCAATGCAATTTCAGGGCAGCTAAACTGGAGTTTGATAGTCAATCCTCGAGTCATTTTTTATTAAGTTAAATGAAACCAAGGACATTATATCAAACCTATCCCATAGCATAGTGATATCTGTGAGGCAAAAAGGCGATACTGGTGACAGAAAACGGTTGCTGGTTGTAGATCGTAGGTTCGAGCTATTTAAGGGTGGTACCAAAAAATAAAAAGACACGCCTAACATAGCTTGTTTTGGTGCTATTTCAAATGCTTTAATTATGAAATAATTACGAAAATGTGCTACAAAATTGCAATAAATGCAAATATCTGATAGACGTCCTCATCCAGAATATTTTTGTTTTGCCTTATATCATAGATGCCTTTAAACTTGGAAATGCTGGCAGAATATTTCTTATACAGTCTTCACTCGGGATTCTTTTCTTGATGATATGTAGATGTATATCTTGATCGAGACATCACGAATAATCTGGAATATTCTGTAATTTGTTTGTGTTTGTGATGGATCGTTTGTTTATTAAGAATCTTCATTAACGAAACACTCGTTAAATCCCTGGAATCTTCTTCTGATAAACATCATAATGTATCATGCCCCAATAACTATAAACAATACATGAACCTGATGTATATTAGACTTGTTACAATATGATACCTAAATCAGGAGTAATGTAATGTAAGGCGGGGGTCATGTAATGCAATATTTATTATTACATGTTGATCAAGCGATGAAAATATTTCTTTTTGGCTATTACATGTACTATATATTCCCTCATAACATCAAATGTCCATATCAGTGTTCTTACCAGCATTCGTCAATCCGTCATCTTTGATTGACAAAAACTGGCATGTCATTGTCAAGATATGAGAAGAGATGTCACTAAACTAAGCTTAACCTAACACGTAACAGCGAAATTTGCCCATCAAAATGCAGGAAATATCGTCATTACGGACGGTCAAGATTTCAACATTTTTGGGGGTTGTCTCACATATGGTTCTCCACATGATGTTACGTCAAACAAAATTCAGACCACGGGAAAAAATTCAAGCTGGTTAGAACACAGCCATATTACATGTTACAACTGAGAATGTCTGGTTCTTTCATCTCATCCCTACAGTCTCAGACAGTGTGAATATACGACTGGAAGTCAGCCAGTTTGGAAGGAAATACTAGAAGGTACTTGAACCAAAATAATGGAAGGGACAGAACAGGTCACAGGTGGATAAGACTGCATTCTTGCTATAATCTTCTTTTGTCAGGCTGCCAGCGCTAGTCTGAGGGGCATTCCTGGCTGATGAGTATTTGGTGAGAAGCCAGCAGGGATGTCTCCAGGACCTGTCCCTACAGTTCAGTTCAGTTTATTCGCACTTTAAAACAAAATGTAACAATACAAATACAAGAAAATATAAATGAAATGTAACAGTGCAGGGAGGCCGGAAGCATAAAATGCTTATGAGGAGGCCTCCCTTCTTAACGTGATTAACAATTCAAATCAATCGGATAAATAAGAGATAACTTAGGTGACGGGTAAATAAACAAAACAATAAAAAAAACAATACGATACAATACTATCTACAATAGTGAAAAATACCACAATAGAAAAGACGATAAGGAACATCCATCTATCCACGGACAAACAAAAATTTCACCGTCTGTACAAAAATTTAAAATTTAAACTTGACAACAAGAAAAAATTATTTTCATAAACTTGACAAGACTCAACAACAAAAATTTACTCAAGGAAAATCTCTTGGGGGAACATGCAGGCCAGGACCCCCTAGTTTTGTGAGCACCAAACTACCCCCCACCCCCAAATGAGTGGGATCAACAAACATTTAAGAAGCTATTAGGGACAGACCTGTTTTTACTGAAACTTTCATCATGATTCATATCAAAATGTTACTGCACTACCCATTCTTGTATTGTAATATAAATTTTAGCATATACATGTATTAGAACATTTTGTATTGTGATATAAAATTAAGATAAAATTTGACATCTTGATACAAATGCATCATTGCCATACAATTACAATACACACAGTCTTACTGTACAATCAATACATCGGTCAAGTCTGGACTTGACATTGATGAACGAGGTTCACCGTAAACATGTATCTTTCTCCGACTGTATCGACAGTTTCACATAAAACCTAAAATGGCCTTAGGGGTAGGTATACAGAATCAATGCCCATTTATTAATTACTCTTCAGATAGAGAAAAAACTATATCATAAATATTTCATAGCAATCTGAAGATAAATGAGTGTTTAACTTTGGATTTTGGAACTCAGCAAGCTCCATAATTATTATACATGGTAGCTGCACTATAGCGGGTATTTAAAAGATCCCCTGTAGTGTTTCTGCTATTCTGCGATTTCAAGAACCTTGACATTCATACTCAGTAATAGCTACTTCGTCTTCCAAGTTCTTATGTAAGTCAGTGTCACTAGAGATGTAATATATCAAACCTCTTAGTTATTAAATCACTATTCTGCAATTTCAAGAACCCTGACACTCGTACTCAATGATAGCTACTTTGTCTTCCAAGTCACTAATAACTAAGAGATATCATATTAAACCTATAGTTATTACATCACCTTAATATTTGCTATTCCACAATTTCAAGAACCTTGACATTGACAATCAGTGATAGCTACTTTGTCTAGTTCCTTACGTAAGTCACTACATGACTAATACGGTAACTAAAAGATTTAAGGTATCTCACTTCTCAAGGCAATTTATTTTGCATTAAGAAACATCACCTTGCATGACTTTCTGCTAATTTCTACAGTTACAAACAACAAGCTTTCACTACTTTGACATTTTGTTGAGCTGGCTGAAAGGATATTATTACTTACTGAACTTTAAGTTTAAAGGCCCGAAGAGAGCCCCCCCCCCCAAGACGTAATACTACAAGGAAAGAGACAATGATGTCATGTCAGAACTATGAGTGTTGTGTAGGTGTAAATAACACCCTGGTGAAAAACCTCCAGCAGTCTCTGGTGCCCTGTAGACTTGTACTGTGTAAAAAATGCACCTTTCAACTGAAATCCTCAGGCTCTGTAGCATCTCTCTCAAGAGAGGGAATGATGCTAGAGTAGGGGCAAAATTGAAACATGTGAAATTTAGGTAGACTTTCTAAGAACGGACATGCAGGCCAGTCAAATTATTATTACGACCCACATTATGGTGAATATTTCTACTGCAATAATGAATAGGTAGGGGCTAAGCCTTGTCTAACTCCATGATGCAAATACAGCGGACACACACTCACTATCCAGCATTTGTAACACTGTTGCATAAGACTTTCACCCAAGCTAAAAACTGAGGCTCAATGTTAAGAAATTTCATGATTCCAAAATGAAATCCCGTGTAATATTATCATGATTTTTTATAGTCGGAAATAAACATAAGGCCTGGTTTTTCTTTTTCATAATAGTCAATCAAGTCCAGTATATGTCTGATATTCTCTATCTTCTTTGGCTCCTTAATAACAGTCAGTGTCACTATGAGATGAATCTCAACAAACTGGAGGGAGGTCACAGTTAAGACTTTAATGACAGTCATCTATCAAAAACAGGCGTTCTGGGTCAGAAAGTATAATTGGCGAATTACAAGCCTTTCGTACAACAGCCATGTGTAAAATACAGATATGCAAACTCAACGCCGTAACATCGCAAATGCGTACCAAATCCCGTATCAGAGCAATTCTCACATAATAAAGAAAATCATCACAATTCATGTGTGAAGTTTGGCCCAAATACATATATGTATGACTGCAGACTGGCACTGATATGTGAGTGTCAAGCAAATTGAATTTCATGCCTAGTATGCACATGATGGGTAATATTTCATACCCTTGACACTTGGATTCATTGATGATTGCACTAAAGCTCTAATTTGTTTTGTCCTTATTCAATATTCCATATGGCAACCAGGCTATTATTTGATAATGTATCTAGCAAAAAATATGTAAATTGCCCTTATAATATACTGAGGGACAATCAGTAACAATTAAAATCCCATCCTTCTAAAATATATTCACAATCAACAGTGCAATTTATAGATCCCTTTGGTTGTTTTATAGAAGAATAGTTCTTCAAATCCTTTTTTTCTAATTATAGAAAAACCGATGGCACTTAACAGACAACCTTGGGCCTGATAATCAGTGCATTTTGTTTTCCCTGGAGGCAAGGAAAGGTGATTTAGGATAATTCTTCAGTCTGTGTGCACAGAACCGTGTAATGTACAACATGCACAAGGTAAATAACATCCCGCCAGGATGTCACACATTTCAAACCATAACTTTTCATCTAAAAATGAATTTCCCACTCACATCGTGGCCTGCTATGGATGAAGAGACTCAGTAATTATCACCAACTA